AGAGGATTGCATGGGACTTGAGGAAGGTCAAACCCTCAAATTTGAATGGAATACAGAGGATAAAAGAGAGTAATAAAGTCATAGTGTGTGACTTTTACTTTACACACACATTACAGATATGGTTGTTGAAATTGAAGGCAAATACAATCAATTTATAATAATGCCCTTTTAGTTTGTTGTATTTATGTAATTGCCACTCTGATTTGGAGTATTTGTGGATTATGGGTCAGATTGACTAGGCTTAATTTTGACTTATATTCACAATTTGATTGCCTTATGATATGAGTTTCACATGTTTTAAATGGCAAAATAACGTACCAAATAAGATGCAAAATAAGACCCTATTTAGTATCATTATTGATGCCTTGTTACACTGCCTTTTTATGAGATAAGTCATAGACCTTACATATTGGAATCTGTATCATTGATATTATATTTCGCTTCACAATTTAGAATCAGGTTGATTTTTATTTTGACACTAATAATTAATATTGACATGATAGAAGTAAGTGGATCGATTATGTAAGTCCAATTCTAAAGAAAAATCATTATTGATGATCCAAGACCATGCATATTGATAGATAGAACTGCTATTCATTTGCTGAATGGACAGATCGATCCAAAAAATCCATTGCTTCGCCTAGCACAATCTTGTTTTCACAGTTTAGGCTGTTCCCATTTCGCTCGCCGCTACTATGGGAATCACTTTTGCTTTCTTTTCTTCTGGCTACTAAGATGTTTCAATTCGTCAGGTTGTCTCTTACTTGCCCATGGATTCAGCAACAGTTCGAAAGGTTGACAAGACGCTCACGATTTCGATAGCCATATCAGCGCTCACGATTTCGATAGCCATATCAGCGATTTGGAGGAGATCTCTCGAAAAGTAATTAGTGCACATTTCGGTCAACTCTCCATCATCTTTCTTTGGCCAAGTGGCATGTTTTTAAAATTATGAAGTGTTTTATGAAAATAATTGTTACATTTGAGAGTACCGAATTGTACTTTGAATTTGAAATTAGAGAAAATTTTGATTAAATTTTTAATTAAATTTCTTCCAATTTCAAATCTAAGGCACCGATTCCGATAATTAGAGAGTCAAAAGGTTGGGATTGCTTGGTTCAATTTCTTGAGCATAATTTTCTATCAACAAAGGAAAAAAATTCATCTTGAAATTTGTTTGGTTTAATAGTAATTTGAAAAACAATTTTATGGAAATAGAGTTGAAAACAATACACTCTTTACTTTTATAAAAATTGTTTTCATAGTTTTTCGAAAATTGTTTTCAAAATTTTGAACCTATCTAGCTTAATAGAAAATGATTCTAGGAAATACTCAACTAAAAAACCTAACAAAAATTAATCTAACTAAATGTATTTTCAAACTATTTTTTTTTATACTTGTACTTTAACAGTTTACTTAGAACCCGGTTTGAACCAAATTAAGCTTAGATGCTGTTTGACTTTCACAATGGCAACTCTAAGCATGCCAGTGTTGACTTTTCATTGGAAAAGCTTATTCTACGTTGACCTTTACATGGAAAAATTATTATTATGATGGAATTTGAAATTAACTTTTGAGATTCTCCGGCATTTGAAATTAACTTTTGAGATTCAAACACCCGACCTCTCCTTTAAAAGGAAGGGCTTGTTCGATTGGTGAAGTGTCAAGTGTGTTGCTAGCATTATCATCAATCATAAAATCAAAGGATGTTATAGTCTTCCTACATGACTTTCTAGAAAACATCTAGGCGATGTGCGCGGTACAAAATTCATGATGCAGAACTCGTTTGATCCATCCTATTGGCTCGGCTCACCCGAAATAAGTATCTTCGTACAATCTTCTTCCTGCCGAGCCCCCTTTCTCCTCGGTCCGTAAAGACAAAATGTAAGACTGGTGCCAACAGTTCATCACGGAAGAAAGGATTCACTAATCATTTTTATCTATCAAAAAAATAAAGTTGATTGCATGATTTTTTTTTTTCCATTAAATTTTGATTTTAGTGGGAGATGAAAGTTTAAATCTACAAAAACAATTGAGTGAGTTTCTATCATAATGTCATTTTGCTCACGTCTCTATTTTTTTTTTTCCTTTTTATTGACACATCTATATATTATTGTTGTCGGTGTCCCTATCATCAATTTTTCTTACTTTCATTAGTATGCTACACGAAAGCATTGATTTATTTATTTTCAATAATCTTTATCATTTGTATAAAAGTTTATTTTCTTCCTAAACTTCACCAAATTAAAATTCTTAAGATCCCGTTATAGATATTTCCAAGTCTAAAAATATGAGAAAGTGAAGCAAGATTGTAAAAAATGTAAAGCAGTTCAAATAATTTTATATTTATGTAATATATTTTTTATACAGTAAGAATGAAGGGACCTTCTGGCATTTGGTTTTAAATTCCACACGTTAGTTGCACTCTTACCATCCCACAAGCAAGATGAACATGTACCACATTGTTTGACTTGTAACTGGATCTCAAATCTTATATTATAGATGAATTACTGTAACACACAGATATGTGTGTGTGTATAAAGTCAAAATACAATAGAGACGTTACATGATTAAATATTGGGACAGCACAGAACCTCAAATGAATTGACCTTGCACATACAATATATGTTTTAGTATAATTAGGTCAAGATCATGATTCGAGGCCACACCACGTTTACACGCTTGGACAACGATGATGAAACATGAATAAAATGCTCCATTTTTTAAGACGGTGTTTGAAATTACTAATTAGACTACCATATATATAAATTCTCTTTTAACAAATTTCAGTTCACGAGCATTGTCACGTGACCATGGGCATAATTAAACAATCATTTGGGTTCTTTTGGGGAAGTTGATTGTTTGAAATTGAAATGATTGGCTTGGTTGATTTTTAATAATCAGAGAAAATGGTTTGCTTTACAACAATAGCCGTGATACATGAATTTGGAGAATACAGAAAATAAAAATGTGAGACCCACGCCTTTTTTGAAAAATGAAAACAAAAATTTGAGTCTCACTTCATGACATGGACACAGCGTCAGTGGTGGGACCCATGCCTCTTTTGGAATTATTCCGATAATATATCTTTTTCTTAGAATAATAGTTTCATTCTCAAATAAGATGAGGAATTCTCCTACAATACTATTAGGAGAGGAGGAAGAACGTCATCATCGTAGAGATTCAAACCCTCTACTTTTCACTAGAAAGGAAAAGAGACACACTAGACGGCCATAAACTTAAATTTTTATTTTTTATTTTTTTGGTGACAAGTTTGATTGTAAGAAAATATTTATTTAAAACAAAAGGACTTCTTTCTTTCCTAGATGTACCATCAGAACAAATAAGGGGCATGTGGGTTTCTCGGGGAGTACTTGGGCCAGTTTGTATTGGGCTTCTCAAGAAATATTAGAATTTGCAGAGCCCACTTCTAAGATCTACGTGGGCTTGGATCTACTTTTTCATTTTTTCTAGGCAAAACAAGTTGCTAATAATTTGTTTAATAACAACTTCTGCAGTGAATCAGAAAACAGATTCTGAAATTCAATATTCTGTTGAATATCCATCAACATGAATATCATTAACTAGTTTAGAGTCCCTAGTAAATTAGGGTATGATACGCTGAATTAAACATGTATGTACGAATTTTGAAAAAATAGATACAATAAAATACGTATTTTTTTTTTTTAATTTTTTAATTTTTTTATTTATCATCTTATATGTAACGCGTTTATTCGTTTTGATTGTTCCGTTTAATTCATGTTTATACTTTAGGATAAACTAATTGTTTTTTTTATAATGGTGTATTTTTTTCAAACATACATTCTTAACAGCCCTTCTCTTTTGCACCATCAAAATAATACTGCAATTTCGGGAAAGGCTGTGACCACTTAGTTGTTCTACTATCACGATTTTTTTTTTTTTTTTTAATTATTATTTTTTTAATCTCTTATTATTGTCAATCCAATGTTTGATCTTTAATCAAAGTAATGAAACACATTATTTTTATATTATTTGTTACCTATTATTCATTGTTCTCACCAATATATGATATATAAGAAAATAATAAGATATGTATAGCCGAAATTTTGGTCCCAAATTTTTAATACATGTAATGTATTATACACATACGCTTTCGTATTCATATTTTTATGTTTATTATTATTTTTAAACATATTTTATAAAAAATATTAAATTATACTCGTACGTTTTTATATCTGTATTTTTTTCATATCGTATTTTACTAATTATGGTTTAGACGATCAAAAAAAGGGCAATGACCACAATTTTTTTTTATTTTAATTTTATTTTGTTAAGTAAATACTCGCACACCCTAGAAATGCCCACTATGGACTCACAACCCCGTACATCCAGCCAAGCCAGCTGGACCAAAGTGGGATGGCCTTTGAGGTAGGAGGGGATTAAACCAAATGGCATATTGACTCACAATTTTGATACTCCAAAATGAATATGTTTTTTTATTATTTTATTATTTTTATTTTTATTATTATTTTTATTAAGGATAATAATTTGGAGTCCAAAAGTCGAATACATTCAACAGATTTATATGAGGGAAGGCTGACACCATCGTAATATCATTAATATTTATAATGACATTAACCCTTATATAAAACTAGTTGAATGTATCCAACCGTTGCACTTTCTATCATTACTCTTCTTTTAAACTAAAAGAATAAAACATTTCAACTCAATAATAATTGCACAATTTTTGAGATGTAAACTCTTACTTTGAGCTTGCATTTTCAATCATTGGATTAAGAGTGCACACCCCCAATCTCTCGTGTCCAACAAACCAGAGAGTTTTAATGTAACCCTTTGATCAAGAATCCTCTCAACAGGTGACATACACTGTAATGAACATCCGTATAGGCTATAGAGCCTTGTTTTACATGTTTGGTATGAAATATTCAAACCTTTTTCTTTTGGTGGTCTCAGTTTAAATTTAAACGGAGCCGAAAATCTCTAATAATCTCCTAGTGTGGATCAAAGCAATCAATATATATATATACACACACACATAGATATGTATATGTAAATAAGCAGACACATTACCAATTCAGTATTTCAGAAAAGTTGCACAAAAAAGAACGATGGCAACCATATCCAGAGTTATTTTTTTTTTAAAACCCAAATTTGTAAGTCAGAAAAAAGAAGCACAAGTAATATCACCAAAAGCTAAATGTAGTATTGCTACCAGATGCAGTTCTTGAACAACCCTGAAAGAGTCGTAGCTCCAGTATCTGGTTTCATTTCTTTGATATCTCCGAATGCTCGGCAGATGGCAGAGCTGCCCAACCACTTCAAGTAGGGCGGCCATTCACTCCATTTCTGCTACACTATAAACACATTGGAAAAAAAAGGTTGAATTTAAACAAGCATGAGTTTAGGGAAAAATTAGTAAGCAACAATGTTAGCTCTTTGCTCGTAATAAAAAATAGTTACAACCACGATGATAAGGCAAACGTTATAGTCACAAAATCTAGAAGGAAAATCTTTACCATAGAACTCAAGAATATTGTCCATTAAGTATTATTTAGGACAACCGTTAATGCTTCTCGGGAAGACTATTTATTTATTTATTTTATAATAAGTAAAATACGTATTAGGAAGATTTTTCATTTTAAAAAAAGGAAACAAATTCCAAATTGGCAAGGAGAAAATATAGTGAAGTACTCAACTCAATAACTGGTGTCTCAATTTTTTTTTATCATTTTGGTTATATGAACAAAGTTTCACCATTTTGCTCTAGCTAACACCTAAACTTCAGTTAAACCAAAGAATCTAAAATTCTAAATCTTGTAATGCAGCAAGGAAGTGAACCACATGCAAATCTTCAAAACACCACCATACCCACTACAACATTCAAGAGGAACGTCAATTAACCAAGTTCTTTTTGTGTAAACTTAAGCACATTTAGTGAACAGGGTTCAACCAACACGTACCAGTTCACTTAATATTATTGGGTTCGACAAAATTACGTTGTAACCCATAAAAGTATGTTAAATGGAATGTTATTGTTGTGTCCTATGAAGCACGGACACGGACACGGATACGACACAACACGGATACGGCGATACGACAAATTTAAAAAAAACAGGACACGGACACGACGGGAATACGGCTATAAAATTATATATATATATAATTATATATTCAAAATCCACAATTCATCATCTAAGCATTTAACAACCAAACAAATAATTTATCACCTAAAAGGCATAAGTTCAATAACCAAAAATCTACAATATATGCATCTTTCATCATTGGCCATAAAACTACAACAAATAACAAGACTAATTTTAATAATTTTATCTCTGTTATAACTTATAACTAATGAACTGATGCATTTATTTTCAAAGAACCACATATAATTTGAGTATACAATACAGTATCAAATATTTAAATTAGGATTCTTGAAGCTCACTTTATTTGGACATATCCCTCAAATTCAAATGTCGTGTTCATATATCACATCACATTTTAACACAAAAATCTAAATGCATCATTAGAATAAAAACCACCATCTGAAAAAGGGTGTTTAAAACTATATATATATATTTTAAAGAAAATTTAAAAATGACAATGCAAAGAAATATATTCCACCCAACCCTTAGAAAAAAGAAAAAAATAAAGGTAAGAAATACGGCCAATTTCTCTTGTCTGGAACTTTGTCCGTAGAAAATCCATAACAAAGGTGAAGGGATCCTTAAATTATACTCTGTAGTATTTGACTAAAAAAATCTTGTTCATGTACGTACAGAGTAACAGAGATCTAATTGAAGAAGAGAAGAGAGGAAGTGAGAGAAAAGAAACCTACTTGGTGGAGTCGCTGTCGTAGACACCGGAGAGACGAAAAATCTGGTGAAGAGTTGCTGTCGCTGAGCTCATAGTCGCATCTGGGGAGAGGAATCGCCTTGGGCAGTTGGCGAAGGAACAGAGGATTTGGGAATTTTGGGTCTAAGCCACAGAAGACAGAACATGTATCGGTATTTAGAATTTTACTGTGTAGTCTATAGTATAATAGTATGTAATTGTTTTATATTTTTTTAAAATTTTATTTTTTACTTCTAAAATTAGTAAATTACATTAGGTACCCATTTATCTTTAAAAAAATTACAAAATTAACCCCGCCGTGTCTGCCGCGTGTCCGTGCCGTGCCCGCCGCGTGTCCAAGCCGTGTCCAATAAAAAATAATTTTTGGACACTCCGCAGAAGTGTCGGACACGTGTCCGAGCCTCGGACACGGGTGTCGGTATTCGAAAAGTGTCCGACATTGGTAAGGGACCCCTGGAAGGAGTGTCCGTGCTTCATAGGTTGTGTCCATCTATCCCAAGTATCAACTTGTCGCATAATCAAACATAGTTGCCACATTGCCATTGATCTTTTTTTTTTTTTTTTTTTTCCCTAATTGGTACTTACACACACTTGTCTTTTCTGAGATTTAAACTCTTGACCTCCCTTTGGGAAGTAGGAGGCTGATACCGCTAGCCAACTTGCCATTGATCTTCCATTCGCATAAAACAACAAGAATTGAAGATGATCATTATGCAAGATATATGATTTTAACATACATCAAGTTCAAACATCTAGAATCATTTCAAAATTTAAAAAACAAACATGTATAAAAATAATGGTAAATTGGCCATTCCCATCAAAGAACAACAAACAAATACACCAAATTCTTAGGAGCTAGCACAAGCAATATTTACCTACAATCTCAAGCAAATTGAATGATATACCAATTTATTACAATCAGATGGAAAAGCTACCTTCACGCCTCTGAATAACAAATTTCCAAGCTTCTCCCAAAGTAGTAAACTCATCTAAGAAAGCATTACAATGTCAAGTCTTCAAAGAACACGAAACAAAGACACTAAATTCTCAGGAGCACAAGCAGTGGTTACCTACAATCTCAAGCAAACTTTTCTGATATACAATTTACTAGAATCAGACAGAAAAGCTACCTGTATCTTTGAGAGAATTGAAACCGTGGCCCTGAAAAAACCTCAGAATTGTACTTCTCCGTACTTCTTCATCACTAGCAAACTCATCTAAGAAAACACTACAATGTCAACTCTTCAGTTCAAATATTCATTCAACATAACAACTCTAAAGTCTACACAAGGAAACAAACCTTCATTAAAATGGCCTGAAGTCTGCAATGCATCCACTTTGCCACTTGTACTTTCCTTCGTGCCAAGGGAATGACCCTACATGAGCAACACTAGTCATACCCGACTAGTTGATGACAACCCTAATTTGGTTCATTTTCCCCTCTCTCTCTCTCTTGAATTTCTAAATAAAATCAGTTCCCAGTGTTGTTCCTCAAATCAAGTTCAAGTTCTCGTCTGTGGCACTATGAGCTTTTACCACAGCACTGACCAACCAACAGCCCCTCTTCTACTTTAAAGCAATATCAGGAAACATACATACATACATATATATAAATAGACACACACAAAGCTGTAGTGGCCACGGGGACATCCTAACATGCAAATATATTTAGTAAAAGAAATTAATCTTGCATTTTCAAAACAGACCATTCTTTATAAAGATTTGAAATACTTTTTATATGAGACAATTTCACTAAAATTCAACTCAACGTTATAAAAATGTTATTCGGGTACTGTCTTTATTATTTGATCCCTATCCTAGAAGAATTTATTGTTGTAGAGGCCCATAAGACAAGAAGTGGAACCAAGAGACTTTGTTATGATGAAAGCTTCAATCATTTTTTTTTTTTTTTTTTTCAATATCGAACAGGTGTATGGTCATGCTTACAAAAGAACCAAGTTTGAAGCGCAACAAGTTAGAGATGGCACAACTTAATTACTGGTCGAAGAAAAGAAGGAAAATTAGAATAACTAGACAATTTTACTGCCATATACCAAGTTATACCACAGTTCCCTTCACCAAAAAGACTATCAGGGAGATTTCACAGTAGTATTTTCATGTAGAAAAATGAGTTTAGTTAAATCTCATATACTTCACTTTTTCTCGCAAATTTTGGTCTCTTCAGAGACTCAGAAAAGAAACAACAATTCAAAATCTAAATCGCAAAATGTAGCATGAGTGTTGGGGAGCTAGACCTGTGGCTGTAGGGCCTGGAGGTCTGGGCGTGAGGAGTCGAATACAGAAGTGCCATGGCAACGCCAACATTCGAAAAGAAGCATCACGTGTGGAGCTGACAGTTGAAAGTGATGGGGTCTTGGGCAAGAGCAGGTGAAAATCAGGTCCTAAACCATAGAGTTGGTTGGTGATTAGTAAAATAAAACATTCATTTTAGATGTCGGCTTGGGAGAGGTCACATTTCTTGAAATCTACGTCTAAAATAAAAAGTAATATATATATTAAACAAGTATTACATGATTGATTGAGGTTATTGACAATTCTGGCGGCTCTGCCGTAAGCCTCGGCCTCAGTGACCGGTTCGGCCGGTACGGCTCCAGGGCATCAAGTCTGACAAACATGTTGCAGCGCTTGCATAAAACTACCAAAGTGAAGTTGCATGTCCATTATTTAACTTCGTGGGCCATGCATCTACAGCCAAAATACTTCATATAAAAAAGAGTTAGTTAAATCAGGAAAAAAAAATAAAATAAAAAAATAAAATAAAGAATACTATAAAAATAAAAAAATAAAAAACTTGTTACCTCCACTACGATGAAGTCTGGTGGGAACTGCTGTTGTGCCTCGCGTGGTGGCTATACATTTATCGGGATCGGAGAGAACATAGAAAAGCAACAATGGTAAAAAATTGTGATATATATTTTTATGATAAATCATCTTCCGTGCGATGGGACTATGTGGACATGCCAGAAGCAGCACGTAGGAGCAAAAACACCAACCAAAAGAAAAAGTAAAACACATAACTCTCGAGTTCAGTAGGACCATATCATTGAGTAACTAAAAATCATGACAAACAGATATTAAATTTCTCTTACATACAAGAGATTCAGTGCTCAATATTCTTCATACACCAAATACAGTTGGATGATACCCACTCGATGTTACAACCATCGCAAAAATAATAAAAAAATAAAAAAAAACAAACAAAAATAAACAAATTCAATGCAAATTACTTGAATATATATATTTCCCACAAATGCACAATGTCCTCTTTTGTAGAGAAGAGGAGCCAAAGGGTTAATCCTATGTGTGACAAGATAGAAGCAGATTATATAATTCATAATACTTTCCTCTAAAGAGGTAATAAATCAGATTGCAAACAATTGAGAAGTCTCGGAAATAATAACGCAAAAGTGATACAAACGTGCACTTCTTGCCCGTCTCTGGGAACTCCTCAAGAAGTCCAATATCTTGATAGCGCGAGGCTATCTTACCTGCCGAGGTAACACCTTTGCGAAGCTTGGAGGCAAGTTTGACCTCGTCTTCAGTGATGGACCAAAAGCTAGGGTCATGCTCACCAAATACGTTCAAACACATGAGCTGCACTACATCCTCCAAAGTAGGGGTGAATTCTCCCCAAGAGGTGATAAAGGTATGGGTATCTCGGCTCCACCGAGATAACAGGAGGGAGAGATTGGGGACATCTCGAGGTATGGTTAGCTCCCGAGTGTTTCGGATAACGTCTGTAATTTTCGAAGCCTGCAAAATCCCCGAGAACTCACCATCAGATAGAATCGCGTCTGTCCACAACTCCCACCCTCGTCCATGACCGGTCTGACTCGTAAAGGCAATGTTGGAGTGAAGGAAGTCACCGCGCTCTACTCTGAATCGTAAAATCGAGTTGGGCTGAATGGGCGCCCCGGTGAGCGCGTAAGGCTCTCCCTCGAACAAGAGTGTGTTTGCCGGAGCCTCATTTACCTCGCTTAATACATCGCTGTTAACCCAGAAGGTGTCGCTCGGACCAAAGTATGGGGCAACTCGCCATTCATTCAAAGGAGGGACGTCGGGAACATCACCGCGAATCGCCATTGCCTTGTTTTGAACAAGAAGTTTTTGCGAGGAGCGAGCAAGGATGAGTGGACGAGTGATTTTGGTGCCTTTTAAAAAAAAATGCGTGTTTTGGAATGACTTAAATATGGGGGCTCGGCATCCCAAGCGTCGTGCCTCCGGCTGACGAAAGGACGTGACTCGAGACCCGAAACGTCTTAACCTGACACACTAATAAAAGGGCGACACGTGGATCGAGAAACCAAAGCGACACGACCCCTGAAGTGATATGATTGTTTAGTACTTAAAAGACATGACCCTTCGGTAACCCTTCAGTAGGAGCAATAATTAAAATTAAATTAGTGGTTTGTTCGAGCCACTCTCTCGACGACCTCGAGTAGGGGGGCAAAATGTTGATGACCGTGCCACGGTAGCTGACTAAGTGGCGCCACCTCTGCAATATAGGCACAACTGGCCAGTGCTGACCTGGCGTGCCCACGGTGGATTAGGTATTCTCGAGCTACCTATCCAATAACGGAACTCACTGGCCGAGGAAGGGGTCGTTACCCTTCCTCTACTGTGGACGCGCCCTGCTCCAGTCGGATGGGCTCCTCCCCCCCTGGCTCGCTCGAGGGTACTATCTGAAAGAGCAACCTCGACTTACCTGTTTACACATTTCCCTTCTTGGCAAAGAAGACATCGGGATAGAATTGGGATGGGAACCCGCGAGGTCATGAAGGCAGGACCTCGAAAAGGGGCCTATCCCCATTGAAGCACGGGAATCTGAGGACATGTGGATAGGTGGCTGAGATCTAAGGGGTCGCCTCAGTCCGAGGCCAGCACAAGGGGGAAAGGATACTCGGTACCTAAGCTCGAGCGATGAAGGATAAGAAACGCATTAATTGCGAAAGACATTTGATAAGACCCTCATTAATTAGGGAGCGCCGTTACCTCCTTCGACCGGAGGGCAAAGTGCCGCGACCCATCCATTAGCGTCTCATCCATCAGAAGAAGAGGCCATCGAACCTTTGGATAAAAGGGGGCTCAGCTAAAGGACTAAAAGGCATTGACTGAGGAGGTAAACGCTATAAATAGGA